AAGAGCTATGAAAAGCAGACATAGGCGCTAGTCAGTAGCGGAGTCGCGACCCGTTCTCAAAGGAGGAGGCAAACAGAGCGATATGATTACGGCACGCTAGATACGATTACATGAAAATGCCACCGAGAGTAAGAGTGCACAATTGGAAATTGAATCATCTCTTCATGCTGAGGAAAAGATCAGGAGCCAGTTAATGAAGCTGTGAGGTACCGACTGGACATAGTTGGACTCTCGTCAACAAGGCTCCATGGCTCTGGAATTCTCAGCCTTTGCCGATGGGAACTTTTGCTACGACTCGCGCTTCGGCCAATGTTAGTGTTATTCTAGAACCTGACTTGACTGACAGAGTTATTCATACATTTGGTGGAAGCCTATCAACAGGTGATTGGAACCAGTGACTACGATTCGAAAGATGACAGCTTTGGCCTTGTTACAAGTCTTGGGCTTAATTCAGAGGAACAAGAAATGTGCTTCTGAATGATATGCAGAAGGTGCGCTCATCCACGTGCAGTCTACAAAATCCATCATTCTGGTTGATGACTTCAATGTACATGTTAGGGCAAACACTGAAAAAGCAAAGACGTGATTGGAAAGAATGGCCATAGCGATCTCAGCAAGAGGCATGAAATTATTGCGCTTTTTGTGCAGCTAACTGGCTTTCTGTTATGAATACTTTCTTTCCACATCGAAACGTTCAAACATATATGTAGAATGTAGAAACTTGTGCAGAAAGGTCCATTATCGATCTGATAATTGTATTATCTGTAATATATATTCGCGTACATAGGAATGCAGATTTGTCCCCCAGGTCACTGCTTTGTTGTTGACAACATTTGCGAAAAATGGATCCCCATCTGAATACCCTGCACCAGAAAACAAATGCCAAACATTATTTTCTGCAAGTACGAGCGCAAAAGTTGCACTTAGCATCACATAACAGTTTGAAAATCTTTATGATGACGATCTTCATCTTCCATCGCCGCTTCTCCTTTCGGGTCGCGGAGGCAGACGCGTCAGACAGTGCTTCCAAC